TTATTTTATTTATATATTATATAATTTAAATTTAAAATATTTTATTTTTACTAAAAAAAATTATCGCTAAAACTATTTTAGTTTATTCACAACCTGACTGTTTGACTAATTGGCTGGTGTGAGCAACTGGCATGCTTTGAGTTACTTCCCCCCACCTCACCCCCACCCGGTAAAAACATGCAAAAAAGTCCATCAACTTGTCGGGTAGTGGTAAAACAACTCCCAAAGTCAATTCACGCGCAAACTAACCCTCAAATTCATCGCTGGTAGCCAAAAAAACCCCTTCCGTAACGTATGATGTCATCACTCTGTTAAAGTTAACGCTGGGCACATTAGGAGGTCTCGCTTTACATTCCACACATTCCACCTCATCAAATTTATATTAAAAAAACAATAATCAACGAAATTCTTAAATTAACCTTCAAAATCCTTCAAATTTACAAAACATGCCCCCAATCCCTCACCAAGCATCTTCTGTAAATTCCCATTAACAGAATACAGGGCGAATGGCAGGAGTAAAACCCAAATGGAGCTGATACCCATTTGATGCTCAAAACCAATTAACAAATTAATACATCCTCGGAGAATCAGCAGGCAACAAAGCTTCTCATCCACAGCAATTAAACTCAGTACTATTGTAAGAACTGCCTCCAGTTTATACTTTTGTAATATGTCAGCAAATGAAACAAAAAAAAAAAAAAAAGAGAGAGAGAGAGAGCCAAAAATGAAGAAACAACTCCTCATCACATCCTCGGATATAGAAATACAGGAAACATGATTAGTAGAACTTAAGCGTAAAAATCAAGGGAAGAACTAAAGCAATTTTTGCACAATTGAAGCTTTTAGTTTATACGCATTTCGATGCCCAAAGACAAATCAACAAACCAGACCTGGGAACCCCCTTTTTCTTCTTCATCTTCTTCTTTTCTATCCTCTTTTCTTCTCCCTTCTCACCTCAACGAGTTTTGGTCCCGATTGGGACTCAAAGGTTGCCAATAGACGAGCCCAGAACCAGATCGGTCGGTGAAATCCAGCCAAAAGAAGTTGCGCTATGTCCTCCCATTGTCCTATCAGCAGCAAAACCATGCCAAACGAAAGCCGCACCACCAGGTCCGTGTAAACAATCACAAATGAGAGGAAGAAGGAGGCAGGGAAGGAGAGAAATAACAGAGGTGTTGAGGGAAGTCGTTGAGGCGGAGACAAAGGGGTTCAATGGCAAGGAAGAGCGAAGAAAGAGGCTGTCATTGTGGTGATTTTTGCAGGTTCATCAGGAAGAAGATGAGTTAATTATTATTATTATTATTATTATTTTGGGTTAAACATGAGTTAATTAATTAATGTTTAACGAACCAGCCCATTGACCTGATTCATCTTGGAGTCTTACTGCTTGGATTTTATTGGTAGGGATTAATGTTTAACATTTACCACTTAACTTAATACTGCAATATTAATTAATTAATTAATAAAAATGTATTATTGATTTAAAAAAAAATATCACATCAACATATCTATTGTATTAGTTAATTTAAGGTTTTTTTTCTAAATTGTGTTGTTATTAGACATGTTGAAAATATATTTATTATATATATTTATTATTAATTTATATAAAATAATTTGTATAAGTTAAAAAATTATAAATTACATTTTTTTTGATTAATTTATATAGAAAAAACAAAAATTATCTTTAAATTTATCAAGTATCTAATTAAAATCATTCAAATAATATTGGTATTAAAAATCATATCTTATTTTTATATTTTTTTATAAAAATTTATTATAAAATAATATATTTTAATGTATTTTAAACACAAATTAAATAAATCTTAAAAAATTATAAAAATAAAATTTATTTTAAAATCAAATAAAATGGCTTAATTAAACAATTAATTAAAATTAAATTAATTTTTTTATACAAAATAATAATAAATATATAATAAATATATTTTTAATCTATATACTAAGTGTATAGACATTACAAAATTCCTTTAATAAAATACAACTTAAAACTTGAAACAAAAGCAATGTCATTCTTGGGACCACGAAGATGCCACTAATTACTTTAATTTGGATGGAAAGTTAATAGAACGATGATATGCCATAAGGGAATCTTTGAGAGTTAGCTTGTGCGGGAATTAACCTGAGGGATTAGTTTGCCACCGCTTAACAAGTTGTGAAGTTACTTTTTTTTTTTTAATTAATTTTTAATATTAAAAAATTACATTAAATTTTAATTAATTTATAATTAAATTACATTAAATCTCATAAAAATTAAATTCTTTTAATAATTTTTATTTATAAAATTTAAATTTAAAATTTTATTTAAAAAATATTAAATTCCTTCTTTTTTAAGCTAACAAATTATTAGTGTGAGGAGTTACTACTTACTATGCATGTTTCGTCTTTTCCCTCCCCATGTACGCATACCCGCTTTTGCAATATTGAAAACAGGTACATGCTCGAACGATAGGTCGCGCGATCGTGTTAAAATCGCGCGATTTGGCATTCGATCACTCTGCCGAATAAATAATAAAAACATAAAATATATAATGTGGGGTCCATCTTCACTTCTCAATAAATAGGATCCATTAAATTAAGTCCAAGGCATCAATCAAATTGAGAGAGAGAGAGGCATGGAGGAGGAGCTTAACTGGACAGAGGCAGAGGCGGGGAGGATGAGGGCAGAAACTAGCCTTATGAGAGAGGAACTGACAGAAATAGAAGTTGCTGTTGGAGACATGAAAAAGGAACTTGAATTGGAACGGATAATACTCGATCGACTCATTGCCGATTTGGAGCTCATGCAAGAAGCAGAACGGGCTCTCCTGGAGGCTCTGTTCCCACAAAACTAAAACCACATGTTCCAAACAATGTTTGGTTCAATGAAATGACTATTTCTTTTGCTACCTTCGCATCTTATTAACTTCTTAGACAATAAAATTATTTGGAATAGTCATCTATTGAACCAAAAGTCTTATTGTTATGATTCTGTTAAAAATGAAATTGTGCTTTTTGAATATTTGTGTTTTTCCTTGTACATGGGGATCTGTTCTTAAGATTCTTCCCTTTGCTCTTGGGTTTTTGAATCTAAAAGTAGCAATGTTAATGTGAGAGAAATGACAGAGGAGGAGAGAGAAAATTCCTAATCAAATTTAATTAGACTAAAAAGTTTTCCTTCCTTCCACTTTTCTTGTGTCAAAAACTGGTAATTGGGTAATCTCAGCATTAATTATGAAGAAACCCAGTTTAAGGAGTCGGTTATTGCCACACAGTAGCTTGTTAACGCCAGACAATTCAGTGCATTTTTTATTGAGGGTACTATTTTGCCCTCCCTTCAACCAACAACACCAATTCCTTTTCTTTTTGCAGAATTTCTCTCTCCCAATTAGACTTCCAACTTCTATTACCAACAAACAATTGGCAAACTCCAGTATATGTAAATCAAGAAAACAATAAAATTGGGATACTCAGCCATCAATTTCAGTTAAAATCCATTAAAATCATAGGTTTATCTCTAAATTTTTCACATAAAGGTTTAAAGATACAAACAAAATAAAAATAAAAATCTAAAAATACTTAGAGGTAGGATTAACAAAATCAAACTCTATCCAACCAATTTAGGATCATTCTGAAACAAATAAGATATCAATTAATTATTAATCTAGTAAATCAAAATTCTAAACCCATTTTCACCTAGTTGATGATAATGTTCCCTTTTTTTTCATCACCATCAATATAAAGCCTTATATCACGGATTTCTATGAATGGGAGGCTACTCGTAAGACCAACAGCGCCCAATCGAAGAAAGCCTTTTCCGCTGCTTCCTTCAAAACCATTCCTCCTCCTTCACCATTCTTCTCTTTTCCCATTGGCAATTCCTCCCAAGCCGACTTATGAGCTACAGGAGTACGAATTTTAAATTTTAAACGTAAGAAATTTGAGGAGTTAGAACAGGGGGAGGGAGAAGGATTGACGTTTGTTGAAGAAAAGGGGAAAGAAACAAAAAGCCTGCAAAAGACACGAATTGTTGTCAGTTGAGCGGCAAAATAGTACTCTCAACAAAAAATGCATTGACTTGTGTGGCATTAATAAATTGCAGTGTCGCAATAACCAACCCTACCAAATTAAATAACGTTAAAAAACAGACACAAAGATACCTGATGTAATCTTGAGAGTGGGGCACGTGTACTAATTTGACACGCTCACCGTACATAGTACTGTCCGACTCCGATCACAATAATAATTTTCATTTTTAATTAAATTTTTATATTTTATTTATTACTATTGTTTTTTAAACACAAATGTAAATATGAACTTGATCCTTCGGGTTAAGTTGTTCTAGTAACATTTGTAAGGGTCATATTTCCTTCCTCAGGGCAATGGTTCGAGCTGACCTCATGATAAAATGTTTAAAAAAAAAAAAAAACACAAATGTAAATACAGCCAAACTTTTGGAGCTAATAATTCATCTTAATGTAGATAAATATTATTTTTTAAAATAAAAGAAAAAATTATTACATATTATCCTGTTAAGATATTTAATAATTATTATTTGATAAATTTAATAAAATTAAAATTTATAATATATGTTATGTATATCATAATTGTAATTAAATATTTTGATATTTTTAATATTAAAAAATTTTTATTTTTATTTTTTAAATAAAAATTTAACTTTATTTTTATCATTAAACTTCAACTATATGTTTGGGATAGAAAAAAAAAAAAGGGAAAGAGAAATTTTTTTTAATTAATTAAATTATAATATTTTAAATTATTATAATTTAATTAATTAAAAAATCTTCTCCTTTTTCTTCATTCCTTTTCACTCAAATATATTATAATTCTTACTCCATGTGCTTTAGAATTAGGGTCATTTTTTAACCTTTCTCCTAAATTATGTTTTTACATATATTATTATAAAGATAAAGATAAACACTATTCTATTTTTTTTTTTTTTGGATGCGTTGAGAATATCTTATATCATTGATTAGTGATCATAACCATCATTGTAACAGATTAGCAGATTATGAACTCATCTTGCGCATATAGCTGGTCCAAAGAGTCAAAGACCTTACGCTGTGACCCATGAGCCAGACCAAGTTTTGTTGGTTCATTGGTGATATATATATATATATATATATATATATATATTTGATGATTTCTCTTCAATAATTTTTTTTTAGATGATGATTATAAAATAAAGAATAGTTTTCTCATTCCTAAATTTTTTTTTATCCATCTCATCAAAACTTGAAATTAAGATATTTAATATGAAAATTTATATTTTTAATCATGGAGACATCTTTAAGGGTTGTTTTCTTTATTAATGATATTGTATTCTTGAGGTTTGTATTGGAATTCATGGGTGTGAGTGTACAGAAGGTGGCAATATTGTGGTTCATAGTCTTGGATCGGTTGAATTGGAATATTGATTGTACCTTTCTTTGATCCGAATTAATAATCTATGAAAGATGTATCATATTGCATACATTTTTTTTTTTGTACTAATCACTTGATATTCGATAACTATATTGGGTCTCAATTAATTTAGAATCGAGTTAGGTCAGACCTCATTAAGGAGAAAACTCTCTCAACGGTTATTTATTCATACACAAGATTCAAACGCAAGATCTTATTTAAGGGAAATTGAATTTCTTCCACTCAGATCAATAAATCATTTGATTTCATATTGCATATATCTAAATCTAATAAAAACATGACTCAAGGTAGTGGGATTTCCCAAAGAAGTTTGAACTGGTCTAAGAGTCAAGGATTTAACTGTCAACACTTATATTGTAATATACATATTTTTTTAATTTTCATTTTTTTCTTATCTTTTCTATATTTAGATTTTTATAAATCGTGCATTAGACACTAATTCAATTAACAAGCCATCATCGTGCAATTAACTTTGTGAAAACAAAATTCTTCTATTGTTTTTATAAGCTATAACAACAACTACAAATGATACAAAAATCCACTCATAAATATGATATATATATATATATATGGAAAAGTAAAAAAATTACACAATGTTTTATTATTTAAAGTACAATGGCTGCTCGATTCCATTTACATTGTTAAAATTTGATATTTTGTTATAATTTTTTTATTTAAAGTCACACATAAATCAATATGCTTCTACTCATTTACTAAGAAATTATGATGGAAAAATTGTTTTTTTAGTACCAATTTTTCGATATTTGGTAACTATATTGAATCCCGATTAATTTGAAATTGAGTTGGATCAGACTTCATTAAGGGAAAACTCTTATTACGCCTGTTTTTTTATATACATAATTCGGACTCGAAATCTTATTCAAAGGGAATTGAACTCTTTCAACTCAAATCAATAAATCATTGGTGATGAAAAATTTGTTGCCTTGATAACATTATACACATATAATGCTAATTAAATTAACAAGAGTTTGGTTAAATTAATACTTATTAATTAAAATTTTTGATTTGAAATTAAAGTTAAAAATTTAAGCATTTATAATGTCAAGTACGTAACTAGTTCTTTAATATATTAAAAAAATAATGCTGATAAAAAAAATAAAAATATTATACACATATATATAGGTTTGCCCATTTTATATTAAGAAAAACAAAGATATGATCTGGATTTGTGTAGGACTCCAAGAGTAGGAGGATCCGCATCAGGTGTATATACAGTTACACTGATATAGAATTATTTGACAAGGACGGCGCGTCCATATGGCTGCTTTTGCCACTTGCTCCAAATCGCACATTATATTTGTTTAATTGGATTGAGGGGAAAAGAGGACAAAAAGGGGGAAAGTAATGGAAGTCTGTACCCATAGATCGATCCCTCTTCCTTGGAAGAATCTTTTTTCAGATTGTTAGCAAGATAGGAAGGGTACTTCTTGTCAGGTGTTCCCACTTCAATCTATGATGTCCTTTTTTTGGCCCAAGCAAGGGAAGATAAGATTAAGAAGAAAAAACGAATACAGCAACCAGTTCAAAAATGAAAATACAACAAACAGTACAAACCAACCCTCAATAATCTATGATGTTTTCCAAATCTGGCTTAGGACATATATAGTATGCTAAACAACAACACGAGCAGAGTTATATGGATATGGTTTCCTGTGCAACTCAACTGACAGTTAATTTGATATTATATTAATATATTTTTGTATATTTTATGATGAATTATACAAAAATAGAGAGACACTTACCCAACTGGAAGTGCCCCAGTTTCTACATCTTATGGCTTGGTTCAAACTTTGCAGGGGTGTACCTCTGCTTTTGCACAATAATTATCCATCCTTAATGTATTTTTTGTGGTAATTTTATGTGGAATTATATAAAAAAAATGACATTAGTTGTAACACAAATATCACTTACGTGAATTTAATTATATAGTTAATAAATTAAAAATTAATTTTTATTTTTTAATAAAAATTATGATTAAGAAAATATATTTACCATTTCTTTAAGTTTAAAAACATCCAAGTAAAAAAATTTATAAGACTTGATCTTCCCTTCTTTCTCCACTTATCATAAAATATGAACATGAGACTTTTAAATTAAAATCTCTTAAACATGCTAATGGTTTGTTTGGGAACCTGATTTTGGTATAGTGTATTTAAATTTTAACTTTTTAAATTCAATATCATTGTTTATTTTTACATAAATAAAATGTAATTAGATTTAAAAGAAATACATGTATTTTATTCTAGGTATTTCAAAAAGTTAAAAACCGTGTATTTCAAATTCATCTTTAAACCCATGAATTTCAATTTTAAACTTTGCATTCTCTCTACACACCGATGGCGATGAAGCCTCCATCTTGACTTCATTGTCGATTGAAAAGCAACCTTGTCGGAAATGAAGACCGGAGTAGAAGAGATGACAGGAAACCGAGGAGGCCGATGATTAAGAGAAGAAAGGAGAGACCCAAGGGCTACAGTTACTGTCATACTA